TTGTGTATATTGAGGCGTACCATTCTTAGGCAGGATCGAGAGTTCTAAATAGTAGCAGCTGACCTGACGTCCGTTTGGCTGGACATGGACCTCTCGACTGGACCGGAGCGACGCCTTGTGATTGCGTACGTGTCGAAACTCGAAGACAAACGATTACTGGAACAGGATGAGGGAGGGCCAACAATTGTGGGGGTGAAGACAGAAGGGATAAGAGTGAAGTTGAAACGGGACGATAAGGATGAAAAAGCACAAGATGGGAAATAGGAAGACTGGAAGATTTGAGCAGTAGCATCCATGCTCTTATCCACCTTGCTCGATGCAGCAGATCTGGCGCCGTTTATTATCCTTTGCGACAGCCAGAGCCTCAGGAATTTGTTTAAAAAAGCTTCATTGTATTGCGTGGACAGAATACTGTCAGGTTGACCAGGCCTAGACAGGAGAAAGATTAGGGTTCTCAACGAAAGCCTACTTCAAAAATCCTGACCGCAACTCAGCCGGGTTATGGCACTGGGCTACAGGCAGTCTGTCTTATGAAGTAAGGAGCCACTCTTACTTAAACCCCCAACCTGGTGGGCCAGGAGACTGGGTTTATCAGGCCTCTAATCATTAAGCAATATGGTATGAGTGGCTCTGAACGTACAAAAGCACCACGCACCATAGCCCAATGGATCGCTGAGGCACGCAAACCATCTCACCACGTTAAGGTCCAGTCTCCTCGCAATGTGAACACCTAGTAGGATCCAATCAGTAATGTAGTCACCTTTCACCATATACAAGCTTTCGTTTGGTGTTTCAATAACAAGTCTCAAGAACTTGTGCACAGTCTTCTTACCTTCATATTTAGCTGAAACCCACTCCCCAATGATAATATTGTATATTTCTTCATCTCACTCACTTGTTTACTTTCTCCAGTCTGATCCTTAACTGTCGACAAATTACAGATGGAATTGGCATACTTTTGATTTGTCTTGTTAGATTTATTGGCTTTTCTTTTCCTTTCTCCGTTAAAGAACTTGGCTGATACCTTCTCTGTTTTACTACTTCTCCAGGCATTGCCTGGACTCTTTTCGAGCATTGCCCGTGGCTCCCAAGTTAATGGGCGAACATCTCGGTGAAATCGTTTTTCTTATCGTTTGATGTAAAGCTCTAAACGGTGATAGTCCAACATTATTCGAAACAGGTTGTGGCGTTTCAGAAGTGCTTGGTTTAGGGTCATCAACTAATTTCTTCGTCTTCTTTCCGCTGCTGCTGTGACTGTAGTAATAGTCTGAGTATTATCTACGGAAATTACACTTCTGTTCTGAATGGCTTCTTTACCAACTGGATTGATCCCACAGCCTCTAATTCCACTGATAATATTTTTTCTCTGGCGATCGGTCAAACAATTGTTTAACCACGCATGAAAAAACTTCATTGTTATCTTTCTGAAGTCTGCTTTCTCGAAACCACGTTTTCAGAATACGCTTCCATGTCATCATTAAGGGTCTAGAGACACCAACGTCTAATGGTTGAAATTCATGGCTGGTATTTGTTAGCATATACATTTGCAGCCAGGTCTTCCGGTGCATATCTGATTGTTTTGCGATTGTAATTTCTTGGCATTATGCGCAAGTCAATCTGAAGGAGGCTTGCCTTGTTTATTTCCTTAAAACAAAAAGTGCTTTATAGCCGCAATTTTCGTGTACTGTAGTTGCATTAATAGTAGTATTGGTAGCAGTCTGTTAAATAGACATGCAAACCATGGAAATCAATGGAAGAAGACAGATTTAACACCGTATCATCTTCATGGCACATTAACTGAAGGTGAGCAACACACTTCAGCTACTGTGCCGCAATAAAAAACGAGGAATTTTTTGCTATTTTGCACACGTCATTTTTTACTACTTTGTCATTTTCAATCGTTAAGCATTAGGCATCTACATCCAAACAATTATCTACACAGCTCGTCCACTGGTTTCGATTACGAGCCATATTCCTTGTTTTCAGTCATCGGCACTCCTCCTCCTTTGGTCCCCAACCAGGCAGACGTGTGGATCCAATGGTGGCAAGACGTGAAGTCAACGATTTCATATGCCGTCGCCATGTGGATGGTGGACCACCGCGTGGTCTTTTCCAGACAACTCCTGCACGAGCAAACAGCGCGATAGGGCAAACGCTCGGCTGATATGCGCAGGACGTGACCGAGCTCTCTTAACTGGCCCAACAAAATCAGCTTGTTGAGTGGAATACTCGCATTTCCTAAGACCCGGCGTCTGACTTCACTGTTGCAGATGTGTTGTCGCCACAGACGAGCATTCATCCTCAAACACCCGTTATTGAAGGCCGACAGCCAGCACATGTCGTCTACGCGAACTGGCCATGACTCGCTTCCCTTTACCAAGAGGGCGACATCCCGACGACGCCACAAGTGCTTCAGGTTGACGAATGCCGACTGAGGTTTGGCAATACGACGAGAAACTTCCTATCCATTGGTACCACAAGCAGACACACAGCTGCCCAAGTAGACAAAGCTATCCACTTGTACAAACTATTTACCTTCTACAGCGAGCAAGGGAACAGACAAATGCCAATCCTGAAGCAGCACTTTACACTTTGACGGGGCAAAGCACATTCCATACCTAGATGCCTTAATTGTCATACGGTCTAAAATGGTTTGCATGCTTTGTGAGTCGTCACCAAGTAAGGCGATATCTTCGCCATAATATAAGACGGTCGCCCGCTTGCCCGGTAGTAGCTGTAGACCGAAATTTTGGTAACTGTCTAGAGCTGTCGACAGGACGTCTTCAATAGCAAAATTGAAGAGGAATCGAGACATAGGACAGTCCTGTCGTACACCGCTATTAACAGCAACGGACGACGAAAGCCTGCCATAGACCCTCCCTTTGCCGGAGATGTGGAGTTTGAGTGCGCCTAGGATAGCAGTGTAGTTTACTGGGACCCCGTTCTTTAGCGAACAAGCCCATGGTGCAGGCTGATCAACCGAGTTGAATGCAACACGGGTGTCTAGGAATGCAATGATGGTAGGCTTCTGGTGAAGGTGGCGGTGTTCGAGGATTTGGCGGAGCGTGAATATTTGATCCATACACCCGCGGCCAGGTCAGAAACCAGTTTGTTCCTCCTGGTACTGAGATTCACGAATTGGGGAATGTCTACGGAGTAGAATGGATGCCAAAAGCTTGGAAGCAACCGAAATGATTGGTGATTGGTGCATACATTGTGGGCACTATTCTTATAGATCGGGACGACAGGTTATTCGCCCCAGAAAGGAAGCCTTTTCTTCATGCCAGATTTTGGAGAGCAAGAAGGTTAACTGGCTAATAATAACTGCGCCTTCATATTTGAACATCTCCGGAGGAAGTCCGTCTGAGCCGACATTCTTGAATCGGTTCAAGTGTCAAATCGCATGACAAACCTTCCGCTTCTCTGGGTGGACCAACTGTGACAACCCAAGGCGGGCAGCCGGGTTCGCAGGGCATACAAGCGGACGGTGAGAGCCAATTAAACTGGGAATGAAAACGTTCGGCCCCTTGGCAATCTGTGGACCATCCACTTCGCAAATTGTCACGCTGAAACCAGGCTTTTTGTGGTCATTGCACCGGATGAGCAGGAAGAGCTTGCGGGTATTGCCAGAGAGTGGCGGCCTCCATTTCCGAAACACGCTGGGACCACAAAGCTTCCTGGTCGCTGCGTAGGCTTTGTTTGAGCTGCGGACTGACAGAACGGCGCACTTCATTATGATTAGTCTCCGCTGGGATATTTCTGTGGCGGTCAAATAGATCCAAAGACCGCGTGGTGATCCAAGCCTTCATAGGGTGCTGAGTAAAACCACAGACTGACTGCCCGGAAGAGATCATGGTCCTCTGTATGAACGTCCATTGTTCATCAATATCTTGCGGTGGATTGCAACCGAATGCACCTGCTAGCGAAGCTTGATAGCTCTGCTGGACCGATAGAGTAGATGGTTTATTTGTATCCATCTTGCAGTGCTTCGTGTTCGGGGACCATCCGAAACTCATGCAAATGTTAGCACAGGCAAGAGCATGCTTTGAGTCAAGAAAAGTGGACCAGATGGATCTGCATTCTTTTAAACTACCCCTCCATCTTAAACTGATTGCGATATGAGCCATCTGAGACCATGACTGAAATGCAGAAGGGGATCTCCAAGTAGCGGAACTTCTCAAGTGCCGAAAACTTGTGCTTGTGAGCAACAGATGATTATTTTCTCACAATATGAGAAGTCTCTCTCCATTACCTGACCGGCTCTCATCAAGCGCGTGCTGACCAACGAAGTGACTCGCGATATACTAGACTACGGACCCATGCGTTGAGATTCCCAGCAAAGACAACGATATCGGATTTGCAGGCTCTGCTCAAAAGATGGTGAAATTCACGATAAAAATCGTCCTTCACTGCGTCGGGACTACAGCTGTGATGGCTTGGGCACCTACTACGTATGCCCTGTCACCGCTTACCGAAAAGCGCCTTGTTTTGTCTGCCAGATGCAGGGTGGCGCAAGGATCGAGGTGGTGGCAGCGGTAAATGAAGTCACTAACCAAAAAACTGAATGCCATTGGTCCGTATCAATTTCCAGGTTGGAGTCCGAGAAACCCGCTTTGTACTTGCCTTGAGACGTTACAGAACATAGCTCGCAGTTGGCACCAGTGACGCGTCTGCCGTCATCTCTTATTCGGACTGTCTGTTGAAAGTGTGTTTTGTGCTGAGTTATCTGCGGGTAATGGCTGATTATGGCGCGGGGCAATGAAAAGTGCAAGGGAGTTGTCTCGCTGATGACAAGGTGTAGGCACCTTGACGCTGAATGTTTGCTTAGGTCATTAAGGTTTTACACTAGGTTCCCCTTTTCTCTCTCTTATCATTCTTCATTCCATAGGTCGTTGTAGTTCTATGGCAGCGTAGCATCAGTTCGAATGGCTAATGTACTGCTGTTGATGATGGCGATGATAATGATGATGATGATGAGAACATGTCCCAATTTATTTTCAGCCCATCTGGACTACTCTATCTTCTACCTGTTCATCCGCGCGCTGCAGATCTCGGAATGTCGCATTTTAGTGAGGCCGAAATTGCTGAGTTCAGAAAAAATGCCAAGAAGGCGAAAGAGACGGTATTTGTTTATTCATTGCCGGATTTCACGACTGTGAATTCAATGTAGGGCGATTATTCCTGGTTGAACTCACCGCCGTATGATATGAGGTTCCCTAATGTCAATCAGACACCGTCTGTATCCAATTCTCATTTTATTTGTACTGTTTTAGTAACTGCAGACAGAATTTCATCGATTATTTCCGTTGTAAAAGACTGTACGGTGAGGATCACAAGCCTTGCAACTATTTCCGCAGGATATACCAACTTATCTGTCCTTCCATTTGGGTTTGTCGCTCCCCATATTTCATCACTTTTTAGATTGAAGAATGGGAATCTCAGCTTTCCGATGGAACGTATCCGTACAGGGACTTGATCAACCGTTAACGATGAACTTCACTAATTTTCCATCAAGTCCATAGTGTTAGTGTTTGCTCCCCTTCCAACGTTTTAAAAAGTTCAAGGTTCGCATATGTAACCTGTTTGAAGTTAATAGCCCTTTGTTTCCTATTCCATCTCATGCGTTTTGAGTCTTATCAGACCACATTTCCTAACTTGAGTTAGCCAATATCTGATTATAATTCACTTCGGTATATGATTATCTCCCTGCGTCTTTCCGTGCGTGCCGGATTCCCATACTTCCGAAATTCCTGCGGTCTTCGCGCCTTGATTGCTGCACCCTCAATGACTGGTTTTCCTGACTACATGATCCCCATTAAATCATTTTGGTAGTTACCTTCTAAATACTAGTCATACCGAGTAAGCCTGTGTTAAGTCAGACGAGCTCGGTTCGGGCACCTGCGCATACATTATGGGATGGATCGCTGGTGAAAACCGTTTACGAGCAGTATGTGTGGCGGAGCTGATTTAAAACACGAATGGTAGAGAAACGAAACAACTGTTCAACAGTATGCCGCTATTCAAGCCTGCAAGCGTTGCAATTCATTGTTCAGAAGTACAAATAAACATTGCCTTATCAAATACTGACTCTTTCAAAATCATTCCAACCGTCAGTCACAAACAGAATACGAAGTAAATGGAAGTGTGCATAGAGACAAGCCTAAAATATAGAGCATGTCGACGGATAAACATTTGTGGGTTATTTGCCGTCAACAACGGGAGACGAGTTTGCATTTGGAAGGCTATCGTGGCACACGGATGGGATACGCTTTCCACTAATTTTTATACCTCTGTTCTACGGGAGAAACGCGGAGTGGTTGGAAAAGTGATCCATAGGTGGATGAAACTGTTCCTGAGGCACACTTTAGGAGCTAGTGGCACTGATTAATTCTGCCGCATGTTTAGTTCTCATCCTCAACATCAGTCGTTTGAACTGATGCGCCGCTGCCGTACAATCGCAGCGACTTAGGGAACGAAGAACGATAAGAGAGCGAAAAGCGGGACCTAGCGTAAAACCTTAATGACCTAAGCAAACCTTCAGGGTCAAAGTGCTTACATCTTGTCAACAACATGGCATCACAAACAGGTGGGCGTCGTGCAATGATAAGCCGACATCAGCGAGACAGCTTCCTTGCAGTTTTCACTGCCCCGCGTCATAATCAGCCATTACCCGCACCAAACACACTTTCAACAGATAGTCCGAATAAGAGATGACGGCAGACGCGTCACTGGTGCCAACTGCGAGCTATGTTCTGTAACGTCTCAAGGCAAGTACAAAGCAGGTTTCTCGGACTCCAACCTGGAAATTGATACGGACCAATGGCATTCAGTATTTTGGTTAGTGACTTCATTTCCCGCTGCCACCACCTCGAGTCTTGCGCCACCCTGCACCTGGCAGACAAAACAAGGCGCTTTTCGGTAAGCGGTGACAGGGCATACGTAGTACGTGCCCAAGCCAGCACAACTTATTCAGTGCTATTGGTTGTTCTAAGGAGGTAGCTTGTTTATCACTTCTTAGCACCCACCTACACGCATCATTGTTGCGGACTTGCTGGTGTCACCCGACACCAGCAATGCTTCGCAGGCAGCGATGGTCGGAGCAATTCAAACCGAAGGTATAAAGTTTCACTACCATAGTGTAAGATGGCCCTCACTATATCCTTGTAAACACCGCCTTCCAGACCGAGGAAAACACATTTCTGCCGCTAAAGATGTTGCAGATTCAAGAAGGTAGTGCTCGCTTTTACAATCTATGAGTTGAATTCAGTGGTTATTCGCCCATCGCTGCTGATACACCTGCTAAGGTAAGTAAATTGATCACCCTAGACATCTACGGGTCATCAAGTGACTAGTGGCCCTGTAACAACTTTTTCCACTTTGAAGGTGCGAAGCGAATGCTAATCTATGAGGACCCAGTAGAGAGGTAACTCAGGGTTGATTGGGCCGTCCCAGCCAAGACAATGCTTGCTTAATCGAGATCAACCAGGCAGCACCCTAATTGCACCATGAGACTCCACAAAAGAACTCTCCATGATGCAGTCCACGATGAAGCTGAACCAAAATTGGGAAATTGTACACTCCTGAGGAACGCCACTTGTTGTCGGAAAGGCATCCGACAAATCCCTGTATACGCTGACGCAGTCTGTCGTGTTTGAGTATAGAGCACATAAAATGTTCACATTTTCCATGGGAACACCTTTCCGCACAAATATTACGACTGAAGACATTGATCGACTGAATCGAACGCAGTCTTAAAGTCTAGGAATCCAGCTGTATGATTGGCGCTGCTCTAGCACCTGTCGCAAAGTACTATCTCGTCTACATCGCCCAGTCTTGGGCGGAAGCCTACCTGCTATTCCCTAATCCGTGATTCCCCTTCCGCAGTGAGGCGACGAACATCATCATCAACAGCAGTACATCAGCCATCTGAACTGATGCTTCGCTATCATACAACCATGAGGACCTACGAAATAAAGAATAATAAGAGGGAGAGAAGGGGGAATTACCTGAAAACCTTAAATCCCACAAGCAAACATTCAGGGTCAAGGCGCCTACACCTTGTGTAGACAACATATCGTCACAAACAGCTGGCTATCGTGCAAATATAAGGCGGCATCGGCGAGACAGCTTCCTTGCGGCTTTCACTGCCACCCGTCATAATCAGCCATTATCCAGCTGACAACTCAGCACCAAACACACTTTAAACAGGCAGTCCGATTAGGAGACGGCAGCAGACGCGGCACTGGTGTCTACTGCGAGCCATGTCCTGTAAAGTCTCGAGCCAAGCACAAGGCGAGTCACGTGGACTCCAGCCCGGAAGGCGAAACGGACCAACGGCACCCAGTTTGGTCGTCAGTGACTTCATTTCCCGCTGCCAAGTCAACTTCTGTCCACCTCGAGCCTTGCGCCACCCTACACCTGGCAGATTAAACAAGACTCTGCTAGGTAAACGCTGACCACGCATACGTAGCACATGCCCGATCCAACGCAGCTTATTCAGTGTCATCTGTTGTTCTAGCATGATTATCACTACCTAGTACTCACCTACGTACATCATCGTTGCGGACACGGTGGTGCCATCATCATCATCATCAACAACAGTATATCAGCCATTTGAACTGATGCTTCGCTGCCATACAACCATGAGGACCCACGAAATAAAGAATAATAAGAGGGAGAGAAAGGGGACTTTCCTGAAAACCTTAATGCCCTAAGCAAACATTCAGGGTCAAGGCGCCTACACCTTGTGTAGTCAACATTCCGTCACAAACAGCTGGCTATCGTGCAAAGATAAGGCGGCATCGGCGAGACAGCTCCCTTGCGCCTTTCACTGCTACCCGTCATAATCAGCCATTACCCCACAGATAACTCAGCACCAAACACACTTTAAACAGGCAGTCCCATTAGGAGACGGCAGCAGACGCGCCACTGGTGTCGGTTGCGAGCCATGTCCTGTAAAGTCTCGAGCCAAGCACAAGGCGAGTCACGTGGACTCCAGCCCGGGAGGCAAGACGGACCAACAGCACCCAGTTTGGTCGTCAGTGACTTCATTTCCCGCTGCCAAGTCAACTTCTGTCCACCTCGAGCTTTGCGCCATCCTACACCAGGGAGGCTGAACAAGGCCCTCCCAGGTAAGCGGTGACCAGGCATGCGTAGCACGTGCCCGAGCCAACGCAACTCATTCAGTGCTATCTGTTGTTCTAGGGAACTAGCATGATTATCACCACCTAGTACCCGCCTACGCACATCATCATTGCGGACACGCTGGTGCCATCCGACACCAGCAATGCTTCGCAAACAACGATGATCAAAGACTTGAAGGCGCCTCAGATCTTCAGACCGAAGGGGCCATGTCTCACTGTCATAGAGCAGAACGGCCCTCACTGTGGCCTTGTATACACGGCCTTTCAGGCGGAGGGAAACTCCCTTCTGTCGCCAAAGATGACGCAGGTTCAAGAAGGCAGCTCTGGCCTTTGCAATGCGTGAGCTGACCTCAGTTTCTCTGATGCTAATGAAGCTGCCAAGATAAGTGAAATGATCAACCACCCCGAGTTCCTCGTTAGCAAGCGTCAAGGGGTCATCAAGTGGCTGGTGGTCCTGCAGCAACACTTTGCACTTTGAAGGTGCGAAGTGCATACCAAATAATGGGACCACTACAGAGAGGCTATTCAGGGTTGATTGGGCCGCCCCAACATCGTCGAAAAGCAAGGCGATATCGTCCGCATAATCTAGATCAACTAACCTTTCACCAGGCAGCACTTCAACGCCTACATCGTGAGATTTCGCAAGGAAACACTCCATGCTAGAATCCACGACGAAATGGAACAAAATGGGGAAATCGGGCAACCCTGACGAACACTGCTTGTGGTCGGAAAGCTATCCGATAGGCCACGGTAGGTCCTGATGCGGCCTGTAGTGTTCGAGTCTAGAGCACGAAGGATGTTCACATATTTTGTGGGAACACCTTTCCGCGCAAGTATGTGGAACAGAATCGATCGATTCGATCAATCGAGCGCATTCTTGAAATCGAGGAACACAGCTATTGTCGGTCTGCTGCAAAGTGAATATATGGTCTATAAAGTCACGTCCTGGGCGGAAACCGGCCTGCTCTTTCCTAATCCGAAATCCCCGCTCCACAGTGAGGCGACGAACGACAATCGAGGCCAGTAATTTTGTCACAACTGGCGTCAGGCAAATAACCCTGTGGTTCGCACAGTCTGTGCGACTGCCCTTTTTGCATATTGCCACTATAATTGATTCGCTCCAATTAGCCGGGACGCTCTTCCTTCCAGATACGTTCGAATAGGGAAGTCAGTGTTTTGCAGAGGACCTCACCTCCATCCTTAAATAGTGCAGGTGGGAGGGAATCCGCGCCAGCGGCGCGAAAACGATTGAGGGCTGTGATGGCGTTTCGGACCTCGGCCTCCGACGGAGGCTCTAAACTAACCGTCCATGGCTCGTCCTGCATCACCTGAGTATGAAGAGGTCTGGAAGCAGGGGGTCAGCTGAACTGATCTTGGAAGTGTTCCGCCCAACGAGCCATACGGCGCTCCTTATTGTGTACCAGCGCACCCGCGCTGTCCCTGATTGTCTCACTGACGCCTGGTTTCCTTGGACCAGTGGTGCGGATCAGCTGGAAGAGCTTGCGGTAATTGCCTACTGCTCCTGCCTCCTCCATTTCTTGAGCTCGACTGGTCCATCAGGCTTCCTTGTCAGCACGTAGGCTCTGCTTTAGTTCTTGCTTAATAGCCCGTCTGGTCACATTGGGTTCAGAGCCAGCCGGGAGGTGTGTTCTAGCTTCCAACAGGTTCATCGACATCTAGGATATCCACTGGCTGGTGCGGTGACGATGGATAGTGCCACAAGCAGATGCTCCTGCGTCGTGCATGGCGTCCTAGATCCGATTCCACTGAAGCTCAGTGTCATTAGGACAAGAGAGCAGAAGTTCGTTATGCAGTGCTTCTTGATAGGCTTGCCTGATCGAGGA